GCGGAGCTCGTGAACAACGAGGAGCTGGGAGGAAGTGCTAACTGTGTACACAGTCCGGCGAGCTAGCCTGTTTTTCGCTACAGAGCCTCAGATTATGCCTCCCTATGATGCGATCTCAGCATTCAACAGATACAGCCACGGATGCTCGAGATATATTTTCCCCCGACACTGTGCTCTCTAGACAACAAGCCACGGTGTTCCGGGGTGTACACCGCTGAGCATCGAAACAAATCATCGGCTCCCTAGCCTCAATGCTCGGTGCTCTCTCTGCAGAAAGGTGAGATTGTCGGATTGGGTGGGAGCTCTTTCCAGGCCGACCTCGCGACGCGGAGTGGGCTCACAGACCGCAACTATCCATTCGAACGATCAGCTGAACGATGTCTTGCTGATTTCTCCGCATCATCGAATCTCTCGCTCGAACGACCCACAGAAGCATGCTTGTGAGTGACCTGGGTCGGATCGACCTGATTCGCTCAGCGTCGCACACGGAATTCTCACTCGGTGTCAACACCCTATACTGGCGTGGTCGCCTCAAGTCAGCCTCGCATCGTCTCAAAGACCGTTGATTCATAGGAGGAAATCGTGATTTTCATGGAATTTTCTCCCTGTTTCAGTCTTGACCCTCCTTCCCTTTCGATTCGACTCGTACTTCGGAGGAATCCTCCGGTTTTCTGTATACGTACCGTATTCTTTCTAATTCAAGGGCTTCTTACATTTTTTCCAACCCTGCCGGGAGTGCCATTCGATGAGAGTATTCCCTCTAAATCTTTCAATCAGATTGGGGAGGACCGCATTTTACTCGCGGAGAGCTCCTGCTGCGCCCTTCTGGGGCTCAGCCGAGCACTCGCGAGGGAAAGAAACAGAGTCGTCGGGCGATGAAGTATGAAATCATGGTAAGCTCCATCGATCACAATCTAATCGTGCGTGAGCCACGGGATTGTGGAACGTCTCTCGATCGGAGCTTCGCCTTTCATTACTAGATGCCGCCGGGAGGTGACCTTCGATTTGAGCGCGCCCCCCTGCAGGATCACGCCCGTTCATTAAAGGAAACACGGTGGACAATCTCAATTCTCTGGAAGCACCATCCTGGCTTTGGACTCTGGAGACTTCTACTGAGAGCCTCCATCGGCTGTCCGCTCCACCTCATCGGATCTGCTGTCATATAAAACGGTCCCGGCATTGATCAACGCCCAGAGCGAGACTACCGAGAAGCGGGCTTGGATCCTCGGGATCAGTCGCCGAGCCGGTCAGCCTCAGAGCTGGAGATCGTGACCTCCGTAGCGTTGCGTAACTGCGGCTCCACCGAGGAATCTGCTCAGGAGTGCTCGGGAACCACTGCTCAATGCGGGAGATTAAGGAACATGGAATAAGCAAGATAAACACGACCTCGAGGAGCCAGGTTCCGACGCTCTCATTCTTTCTATCCAGTTCACTCGAATGCATGAAGATTGATCTCCGTCCCGCCAGGGTACTCGACTCATAAACATGTTGTACATATACGGAGTCGAGTAGATCATTCCTTCCGGGACCTCAAAGCGCGAGAAATGCGCTTGTGGGGCTTCTTCGCGAAATTCGAACCATCGCATCGGAGCGGCTGATCAGGCGGAAACCTCGAGAACTTCAGCTGTGACTCGGGAGCGAGCTCCTCGTACGAGCGGAGAAATCGGCCGAAAACGGCGTAGATCGCACCGTGGCGAGAGATGCTCGTAGCAAGAGAAGCACGAACTCAACGCTAGAGTCGGAGGTCCGGAGCTCATCGATGCCGTCGTATCCGTCTTGACGACACCCATTTCCGCCATTCCAAGCGCTTGAGCCATGATCGGTGGCGGCCGACAGCGATTATCTCGTTCCACCCCCTGAGCATGGAGAATTCCTAGAATAACTCACGTCGTCGATTCTGCTAGGAATTGAAGACTATTCCGTTCGAAATACCGAGCCCAAGGAATGACAGAGTTCTTGCCATCGTTTCGCGAGCTCGCCTTGGGAAATGGAGCAGTCAGATGAAACTGCGAGTGGCTGCCGATTCGGTGCCCCCTATCCTCGCTCGACGACCTGAGGAAGAGGAACGCTCTACGGTACTGGTCGATTCGTCCCGAACAGGAGTCAATCTCAAGGATATCGAGTCATGCGAACTCTGCGGAGAGCGATCGTGGATTCATTCGAGACAGCGAGGAGTCAATTCTTCTCAGGACAGGGCTGCCCTCGAACTTATAGGCCGAAGGATTATTTGTGTTCTGTTCCCTTGTACGGAGGTCCTTACCGACGAAAAGCCGAGGTAGGTCTCTTGATCCACAGCAGGAGGACACCTGCCCCAGATGCGGAACATTTGAAGAGACCGTGAAACATGTGATCTTCGAATGCAGCGACGCATACTTTTTTTTGTGTAGCAGCTCGCAAAGGGGTGACCCTATAATTCCCAAAAGGAACTGCGAGTGTAGAAAGGGGGAGGGGGATTGAGGGGAAGGTGGGAGGAAAACGTGAAAGAGCGATAAGAAAAAACGCATTGACGCACTACCCAGAATAGTGGAGAATTCAACTGGAGTGTGGGGCTCATGTACATACTACCCACTAAAAACCTATGGCTCCTCACCTGAAGGGAGAGAGCGGATAGTGTTGAATTTGAAGAGTTTCGGATCATACGTTGGAGGGAAGACATGAGGAGGAAGGGCATTCCATAGACGGGATGTGCGGGGGAAAAAAGTGGAGGCGAATCGAGCAGTACGATTTGAGGAAAGTTGGACGGAGTAGGGATGCTGCTTGGTACTCTTTCTGGTTGAACTGGCGGGGACCGAAATAGGGGGAACGAGGGAAGAGATTTCATCTGGGCATTCTCCATGGAAGTATCGATAATATAGGCAGAGGTTGGTAACGTTACGACGTGAGGACAGAGATTAAAGAGAAAAGGATATGTACTACCCGGACGAAGATTTCCCCTCAAGAATAAGCCTCCACGAGGAAATACAGGACCCTTCGATCGTGACGAAGGGTCCTGTACGAATCTTAGAAAAATGGGAGAAGGAGACGAAGGATCTGCTTGATAGCGCCTGACATGAAAGGCTGATGTGTCACCTTGTAACATACACAGAATACCCTTCTGGATCAATAAAGTACCATAGCGATTGTCCCTGACGGCCCGCGACCAGCTGATGTGATCCTGTCCATGAGAGACGCGGAGTCCTCAATACGTTTTACGGCTGGCTTGCTCACTGTCAGTGCCTTCTTCAAGCGGACACCGTGCCCAAGTCCCGCGGATCGATGGCCCTCCTGGGACTCTATCCGGTATCCGGTGTCTCCTACTGAATGATGAACAAGCTCCACTAACTAAAGCAATTTCTGTAATGACCTCCAGAATCGAGGTAGTAACGACAGTCAACGACAGTGGCGAATCCAGAGAGAGAGGCAAGGGGCTCCGGCATTCCCAAGGAAGGACAAGGGGCCATGGCCCCCCCAGGATCTCTTTCCGGCCCGTAGGACTCCATTTTGAGGCTCATGATCGGTGGTGGGCCCTTTGGCGCAGGGCAAGGAGCCATGGCCCCCTCCAAGATATATCCGTCATTCTACTCAAGTATAGGCCTCTAGGGAGTTCGTCATCATCCAGATTCCAAATCACCATCCGTTGCCCCTCCTCACCGAGAGAAAATCCTGTATCAGCCCTTGGTCTAGGATGCTCATCAATGACTTCAGGATGAGTCACTATCGTATACGACGCAAATTCCGCTCGCTGACTGATCGTATGATCGGCATGAAACGGTGAATTCCGGACAGAGGCACATTCCATCCGCTGACTTCTCGGAGTCCGCCTGATATCGGCTCTAATATTGATGGGGTAAGACGTGGATGTCGGCGGGTGCTGCCGTCGTCAGGGCGAGCTAAAAAGAGTTTTTGGATCCTACAGACCTGTTATCAAACAAACATCGAGCGGGATGGATGCTTGTGGTGCTGCGCGCTTCATTGTCAGCCACGAATGCCTCTGCGTCCTTGAATGGGCTAGCGAGTTTTCGAGCTGGAGCGATCCTGCTCAGGACTCAGGACTACTGGCGAATTCCCGTCGCACATCGAGGATCATATCGGGAAGGAATTGGAAAACTTGTGATATAGAATCAATCAGCCATAATTCCGGGCGCTGAATCCCGACAGATCATCTTCCGACCCACTATTTCCGGATCCTTGCTGTCCCTCATCCATCGGCGGCATCATTCGAATGTTTCTCGAGCCTTGAATGGCTCAGCGGTCGTTCCTCCCTTGAAGCTCGAGGTGAATCATTGTCCTAATGGTTTTCGAGTCTCTTCATTAGGTTGGCGTTTTTCTCCACCAATGACCCTTTGAGGACAGATGCGAGTTCTCACGGAGACTCAACCACAAAGCCCGGACGCAGTTCCGCGCTCGATGGACTCCATCGTCCGGATTGTCGAACCGATGTCTCACTTGCACATGCGAGTACAGAGGTCGGTTGTGCGAAACGAACTTTCGGTTACAGCCCCGGCCAGAGAGGCTCGACAAATGACGAGGAATCACCGTCCCTGTATTTCCCCCGTCAGTGACCAGCTTCTGCCAACCGAGGTCTGAGCCCCGATGAATTCCAAAAAGAGACTCTGCGCTATGAGTAGTCTGAGGAGTGTCTTCGAGAGGAACCGGGGACCACTCTCTCCCCTGTATCTGAGTTGAAGCCTCTGTCTGCCATCAGAACGGCCCCTGCCGAATAATCGGGCGATGTAATTATATCGGGCGGAATTAATTTGATCGCTGGAACAATCCCTCGAGTTATTTAGTTCATTCGAGACTCCCTAGGCTCTCTGCCCCGCAATCATCTCCATGATTCTGGCTGGTCCGAAATAGCCGTCCGTGTTAGAAATGCGCAGCGATTGTTCACAGGAGACGACCGCAATAGAACATAGATATCCCCGCCGTCGTATGCCGAAAACACCGTGGGAATCTCCGATCTGGTGGAAGACTCGCAGGTCAGCTCCCAGAGGCACTTTGTGAGTCGATCTCTGCAAGGGATGCAGGAAGCTCACAACGTGTTCTCTTTGGCTGGCCAGAAGGTGAGGTTCTTCCGCGAATCCGTCCATAAGAAATCGGCCTTTAGACCGCGACCCTAGATCAATGGACCTGGAGCTTTCGTGTCACATCTCCGAAGTGAGGAAAATTCGAGAAAGGGGGGAGAGACACTCGGTTGCGTTTCGTCCCAATTCGTATACGGAGTATCTGAGCTCTATGCTTTCGGGCTCTGAGAGGATGTTGATCGAACCAGCCCCGGCGACATCTGGCATGAATCAAAATTCAGCGCGATTCATATCAGTCTGAGGCCGATTGACACAACCTGCCTCCCTCACAAAAGTTCATTGCCAATAGAGGCGGGTTGTTCGAGGGAGCGGAGAATAAAATGTTTGACAATAAACCCTTGCGGCTCTTACCGACTCAGGAAAAAACCGACTACTGGAACTCGGCTTCAACAATGGGAAGGACAAGACACTCTTGGCCAGACTCCAAGCGGCTCGACTGCACGCCGGCGGCTGCCACATCACAGGTGCTCCCCGTGGTGCGGTTAACGGGGCCCGGGCTAAAATCGCAGATCTCGTTCATTACAGAGATGCTGTGAAGTCCATCTTCCTCAGACCGTTGACTCGTGTCGGAGGAAGAGGACACGAGTCAACGGTCTGAGGAAGATGCAGCTCCGAAGCCTCCCGCGCGCCGATATTCAGGTCCAGGCGAGAAATAAGTAGGGTCCAAGAAAAGTGTTCTGAGGATAGTCTCTGGAATCATTCTCGAACAGCTCGGAACCTATCATCAAACGGACCTTCCCTGTCGGTCCTTGTCCTACCCCTGGACCACAGTTCATAATCGATTCGAGAAAAAAAAGTCCACCTCCGGTCGGTGGATTCCGTGTCCATCCAAGGCTCATTTCACGCTTCGTTTGCGCGTGCTGGAACTGCCTGCGAGCTCCGAAATCCCTCGATGCGCTTCTCTTCAACCACAAGCTCCTTCCGGCTGAAACGAGCGGCTGAAACGAGGATCCCGACGTATTAAGACTTCATGCGGAGCCTCAAATGATCTCTGGCCTCAGAGGGCTCGGGCAGAATGTCTGAGGTTTCGTCGATTCGGACTTTTCAAGTCAAGTTCCGCTGCTCCGCACCTTCTTCCCCCGCGATGGCGCCGCAAGGGGCCTTCGGGTTACAGTGTATATCGTTGAGACCCCCTTGTATCACATTGTCTCCGCATCGGTCGCTCGACCTTTGGAAGTCTGCGGGGGCTATGAAGCCATCATTCGTCGCAACATGTCGATTTTGGGAGAGTCCGGGGCAAAGGCTGCTCGGCACCGTCTGGCGTGTCTTCCTAGTCGACCGCGCTTGTTCCACGCTCTACTCGACGTGCGTGTCTGTGGAATAAAAGTATGTATTCCTCGTTTTTGCGTGGTTTCTCTCAAAGCACTCGAGCTAGGCAGATCTGCTGCGCGGAGCTCCGCAATTACTTCTCGGGGGATCATGAAACTTTTAATGAATGAATGAACGAACGGCTGCCGTAAATGTTTGTACCGACACCGAAATAGATCCGTAGGGTATCAATGTCGTCAGAGATATGCCAATCTTCTGTTCCTACAGCTCGAATGACAATGCGGCGAAGCTTCTTGCGATGATAGAACATCAAACGCATTTCCATGGCGAGGAGAGCCCTCGGTGTGGGGGCGATAACACCTGTCGGCCTCAGAAAGAAGCCTCTCGTCTTCCCTTTCCGGAAACAGAATGTCATTGCCGATGTCAACTGTGGGGGCCCCACGCGTGGCAGGAATTGGCGTGTGTCTGAGGTCGAGTTCGCCGAACGCTTGCCGACGTTTTCGGATTCTTTGTAAGAGTTCTCCTTTTTGACGAAAACACTTACTCAGTCCTTCTCTAAGCTCAAATCCATTCTCCTCTCGGGCTGTTTCGGGACTATCCCGAAGAGAACGCCTCATACTGCTCGTGATCGAGCGGGAATTCCTTTCCGAAGTCAGCCACGCGAGCCGGAAGAGAAACTTCGCTATGGACATCTTGCAGCTCCAGGAGCGAATGGGAAACATCGAGAGCACAGTCCGTGTTCCACAAAGTCCGGTGGTAGCCATGAACTGCCGTTGCGGGATCACGGCCGGGCGATTCAGCGAGGTTTCAAAGAGGAGTTCCTCGACTCAGTGTCCTCAGGGGACCGGTAGATTCACCTGCGAACCTTTCTGAACTGAGTCTTTACAGGGGTTCGTGTTCCTCGGTCGATCCAAATCGATTCGACGCCGAAAAGTTCCCGATACCGAGATTCGAAGGAGGTTCCGAAGTTCTCCATCCGTCAACGATAGCGTGGCTCTGATGGAGTATGGGATGCTGTTGAGGCAATCATCCCGATTTGATTCGGGGAAAGCCTTCTGATTATTTATAAATCACATTGAGAGGAGCGGAAGGAAAGGGAAAGTCCGCTCCGGACGCTCCCTAGACATTTTTTTCAAGAATCTCAACGTCGATCAGCTTATCCCGACTTGAGAAGGTACACCGAGTTCAGGGTATCCTAACGCATCGACCGCTGGGTTTCGAACGATGATTTCATCAACTCCAGGAATTCAGGTCTCACTGCCGGATTGGAGCTGATGCCTCAGGGGATTTTCAGTCCCGCGTCGGATCTGACAGTAGGTCCTAATAAGAATCGTCCTCCGTCCGAGATCAACAGAAGATATCTGAGCTTGAAGGGCCCCAAGCCTATACATAATACAACAGAGGTTATCAGCACGATTGATCATTGGACGAATTGGTGCAAGCTTGGTAGTCTAATGCTTCGCGGTTGTAACACATGTACTTGTTAGCTTTCGTGAGGCGGAGGCCACTCTCGGTCGGGGTCTCGATGGGGGGATTCTGATCTTGGCCGCGGGCGAAAATACCCGAGCGCAGAGCTCCTGCCCTACCGGGTGCATCGGGTCTCTCAGATTCGTGTTTGGGCGCAAAGCCTCTTCGGAGACACGCGAGCCGCTTCATTAGGCCCCGAAAAATATTATAATACTACCGATGAATTTGAAGTAGAGGGGAGGCAAAATCAAATTATTCCTGCTCTCGCTAGAGGTGTGGAACGCTCTTGAAGCATCGCTAGAGCGAGTCCGCCAAAAGGAAAGGCGCGGAAGAGAGAGATGGAGGATCTCGGGATAGAACGATTTGATCGTTCCTCCGTCGATATCCACCGCGCCAAAAGCTCGCTTCCCGTGGAGCTGAATTCCGAGCTGGGATGATTCCACGATTTCCTCAATTATAAGTGGAATCACCAGATTCGGAGCGATGGCGAAATCCAAATACATCAGAATTATGGCACCATTCAAGACAGGGGAAAGCGGTGGCCTGGCTCGCTCATGGGTAGCTCATTCCCGGGCAAGACTCAGAACAGCGTTCCGATGAGAAGTAGACTGGTTTCCCCAATCCTGGGAAGATGGAACCCGTTTGAACGAGGGGCGAGGCGCTGAGGAAGGGATTCAGGCGTCCTTTATAGACTTTTATCCCCTGCATGTCGAGGCTCTCTCATAGGAGCCAACGATCTTCAACGACAGCTCAGCGTCCGGATCCGAGGGTATTCCATAAAATTTGCCATTAAGGCAACGTGGCCTTTTTATTGGGGACGCGCGCCTCTGCGCTTGCAACGTCTTCTGGAGTGAGACGTCAACAGAGTGAAGTCGGGGAGGAAAGACTACCTACCTGTATTAGGCGAGAGATGAACCGATGACAGCTCGAACTGATCTACGAAATAAGTGAATCACCCGCCACGAGAGTGCCAGAAACAACCGACGATCTTCTCAGCCGCCAGAGATGACACTCTTTGTGGATTGTCAGCTTCCTTCATCGGAACACGTGACAACGTCATTTGGAGGGTCAACCGCGTGGTATCGCGGTCTGAAAGGAAAACGGACGAATGCTAGGCAAAACCGCTCATCAATCCGGAAGGAATTTCCCGACGGAGAGTTGGAGTCGAGAGGTGCTCGCATTGAGTCGGGTCTCGATGTTAAGACCCCTGCAAACTGCGGTTATATCTAGCGATTGATTAAGACCTCGAATGTTTGCCGTGGAGAGAGCTCCGTGAGTAGGAAGAACGGGCGAGGACCCGCGTCCCTCAGTCGGGTGGGTTCCTAATGTGGACCCAAGCCGTTTTCCTGCGGTTCGACGTATTCTTCGAGAACTCGCAGCCCCAGCTCCTCTCCTTCTCTCCTGGGAGTGTCAAGAACGAATCTCCCTATCGCGCACGTCTCCCGAAGCTTGCTTAAGCGGATTTAAACGCTTTAGCGACAATCAAGCACAACCGGTCCTAATCAGACGTCGCAGCATGTGATGGTGCTGCGCGAGAGGGCACCATGCTGAGTGAGTGAGATCCGATAGCTTGCCTGTCATACAGCCGATTGACTGAATGGTCCCGTTGAACCACACATTGTACGCCGCTCACGATCCGATATAGTTCATTTCAGAGCAGACGGACCCGGAGCGTGCAGTCATCAGGTCGCGTTCCATTCTAGATATTGCGGGTCGATTATATGGCGCCCGACATAGCCGATACCCGGTCGACATTCGTGCAATCGACAAGTAGGTGGTGATGTTTCAGCTTCGAACAGGGATAACGCCGGTCGTTCAGGAACTTCTCGATTGCTCCATTAGCCCCTGGCTGAGTCCAAAACGAGAATCCCATTTATCGAGTCGAGAGACAACACGACGGACCTGACTCGTTCCGAAACTTGATTCCTGTATTGACTCCAGCGACGAGGAATAGCTTTATGTAGGTATGTTCGGAGCTCGACCATACGCCGTCGGCGTTCGAAACTTCACAGTGATGTGATTGAGACGAGAAGTTGACTGACGTTAGTTCGGTTCATTTTTGAGGCGAACGAGCCAGCGATCATCGATTCACGATGGTCCATTGCGAATTATTGGCGGAAATATTCGACAAGTCTTCGCGTCAAGAATAGATTCGGCTCGGAATCGATCCGTCCACCCGAAGACTCCACCGACTGGGATTCGCTCGCCTCTCGAAACTGGCAATCATCCAGTTTCGTCCTCGGCGACCATAATAATTCAGAATCTAGCACCGCGAGCTTTATACGATCTAATATCTGCGATGACGCGCTCCGGATGGACGCCGTGGGCATCGTTGATGTTTGAATCTCTCTTCCAAATTCTGTATTCCCGTTCCCTCTAGTTGCAAGAGTTCCCTGTTTCCAGAGTTCCCTCCCCAAGGTTATTCCCTCACCCGTCTCTTTCCACGTCGGGCTGCCCCCAGCGCACTGAGCCGCACACTCGAGCCGCGGTTCGTCGTGCGAGGACGTCGTGCCACTCTAGAACTCGGATTACGAGTCGAGCGAGACTATTTTCATCCGGACAGTAAACAGACAGAGTAGTTTTATCGCATTGGTGTCAGTCAGTGTTAGTGCCAGGATCTACCGAGTTGACCACCGAGTGCGTTCACCATTGATTGTGGCAATTGTGTGCTCCTTAAAGTGATTGTTGCTGCTGCTACTCCGCGTGTTGGAATCGCCGACACGTTCATCATCGCTTCCTTGATCTATCGGGAGCCGGTTCCCGGACGTTTTGGAGTTGTCGCCGCGAACATTGACGACGACGGCCGCTCTGCGGGAAAAATGAGTCGCGACTCGGAACCGGGAGAAGAGCTTCTTTCGGCGTAATCTTGGAGACCAGTCTGGCGGACGCTTCCGAGGCGCCAACGGACGGCCCGGCCACCCCCCTGCGGTGGTTCGGAGCCGCCGTTGGCGCCTGTATACTGATCACGACGCTGGTCGGTAACATCTTAGTGTTGGTTGTCGTCTCGAAATTCCGACGACTTCGCTCGGCGACGAATATTCTGCTGGCATCGCTGGCGACCGCTGATATTACGGTGGCGCTACTCGTTATGCCTTTCACAATCATCGTTGACGTTGTCCGCGAATGGCGTTTTGGACGCGTGGCATGCTATATGTGGATCTCGTGCGACGTCATGTGTTGCACAGCGTCGATTCTTCACCTGTGCTTCGTGTCGTTGGACCGATTCCTGGCCGTAACGCGACCCCTGCGTTATCGAGCATGCGTCTCTAAAAAGCGCCTATCCGTGGTGGTAGCCTTCATATGGACGATGTCCGCCTCGATATCTTTCATACCGATTTTCTGTGGTTGGTTCGGACCCGAAGGTCAATGGGATGATACCACGTGCGAACTGGCTGTGAATCCTACATACGCTCTCATATCGTCACTCATCTCGTTTTATTTGCCTCTGCCCGTCATGTTTTACGTTTACGCCCGAATCCTAGGCGTAGCCGAACGACAAGCTCGCGAAATCCGAGTCTTGGAGCGCTCCCTCATCCAGAGTGGTCAAGGAATCGACACCAATCGTCGAAGGAGCCTCCGACGGAGATCTAAACAGCTGCTTGTCGACACGAAAGCGATCCGCACCCTGGGAATCGTGATGGGCGTGTTCAGCGCGTGCTGGCTCCCCTTCTTCATCATGTACCTCGTATCGGCGTTCTGCGAAACCTGTCAACCTCCCTACGAAGTCCGGACCAGCATCACTTGGTTGGGCTATGTCAACTCCGCCTTCAATCCCTGCATTTACGCCTTTCTAAACACGGAATTCCGTGACGCGTTCACAAGAGTGCTCGGCTGCTCGGCACGGGACTCGACCGCTACGGCAGCTTCGGTCGCCGGAATGGAGATCGAACATCGCTCTAGCAGTTGTAGCTGTCCGCCGCAAATACAGAAGATCCCCCGAGCTTCTCCAGCCCGCACGCCCGACGGAGCCAGCTGGCCGAACATCATCGGTCAGCTCGATAAAGGAAAACACGACCTCATCTGATGGCTGCCGGAGAACTAGAACCTCCCGAGAACGGCGACGACGACCGCAATTGAGATCACGGTGGCAGCAACAACTGAGACAAGCTCAGAGCGCCGTCTCCTCATTCGGATTTAGGATCGTGATCCCGTCTCGGGGAGGCGGCGCTAGCCTCGGCAACCTGTTGTTCGTTCCGTGGGATTTAACCTTGGCTCCGGTCTCGCTTTTCGGCTCCGATCCGTGCGACTTGTCCCTCACAGGAGTTCCCCTTGTGCCAATCCAAGTACTTGAGTACGATGTATATACGGTTACATATTTTCATAAAGAAAAAAAAGCATTCACTCAACCCCCGAAATGTTGAAGTAATTCGTTGCCGGAAGGATTCCGTCAACGACCGCTGATGATCCTTCGCGAGCCCCGTTGTTGGAACCCGATGCATATTGAGCCGTTTTCTCGATGAACCCATACCGCTCAAAAGCACCGCGACTTCTGGCGGAACTCACCAAGATGTCACGCGACAAACTCAACGAGCTCGGAGACGTTTCCACGTCGAGAATCGCTCAGCTCAATCGAACGCAGCACCGAGGACAAGTGACGAGCAGCGCGTGATCTGACGGCGCTCCTGTGCGGTGACTACATTGAAGCTCTGGGAGTTCGGCTCAATTAGTGGTCGTACCGTTCGCGTCGTTTGTCGCGCTCGGTGGCCTGATAAGTGGACCCGCTGGTTTCTCGCCCGGAGTTGAAATTCGCCGACGTGCCTACTGGAAAACTTTTCCTCCATCGAGGCGGAACCTTAAAGCCTTCCCGAGCCTATTCACATCGAAATTCGAGAAGGTGTCGCAATGGTATATCTCCTTGCGACACTTTCGCTTCCAGTCGCGCTCATGTCTCGAAAACCCAAGTCCGCGATGTCTTGGCGAGCCCTCCCGGCAGGGCTGTTCCTCTTATCCAGCCAACTCGAGATGGGTGTCGTTTGTCCACTCAGCCAAGCCAGATGGCCGAGCGCGGTGTCTCAATAAGTCAATGACGGAGGAGATGAGTGAATTTGTGTACATTGAGTGCTCGGAGAGAAAACGGTTCATCCACTCACTTGTCATTACGTGTAAACATCCGATTCATGGTCCTGAATGTAGTCAGACTACGGCTGTTTTGTGTAAGCGTTTGTATAATCAGTTAAGGAGGATCCGTACGATGGGCGAGAACCTAGCAACCAGCTGCGCAGGTCTCGATCTGGCAAGACCTGGATCTCAATGTGGTATCGACAGAAATAGATGCATACACACTTTGATCGTTAGCTTTTCCATGTAAACTAGCTCACACTTCCTTAGCTAGTGACACGGCGATGTCAAAAAAAGAGCTTGATGTCAGTACAATCTGAACGATCCCCGCAGGAAACGCCGGGCTTTGGCCGTTCAGAGAGAAGAAAAGAAGAAGTCCCGGTCAATCGAGCCATACTCGAGAACGATTTCAGAAAACTTGTACAGCAATAATGTCTCACGAGCTGAATCACCCCGTAACAGCTCCCGACTTCCGTCAGGCGGACGTTCCGTATGACCCGCATGGGAGCAAACGTGATTTTTGACCGTAGGGTGAATGTGTGCTCGTGCCTGGACGTGAATGTGCGTGTGTCTGCAAGCACCTCACGAGAGTGCACTTGACCTGGAGCAGAGCGAATGGAGAGGGGTAGAAATATCTTCTGAGCTCTGCCGGATCGTCTGGCTTTTCCACCATCGCGGCTCAGCTGATCGGAGGAGGATTGAACATATTGAGGAAGAGAATCGATGAGGGAAACAAACATTCACAAAAACGTTACAATATATAAGGGAATGAAACCGCAATGGATTTCGCTCCACGTCCGAGGCGTGGAGCCCATAAAGCTTCACAAGAGAGCATCAGGACTGAGGGAATCACTCCGACTGTATGACAGAAAGATGGCAAATGTTCAATGGAGGCTTCCTCTGAGAGTTTTTTGGAAGTTTGTCCGCGAAAATTATATCATATGAATCCGAGAGAGACCGAAGGATGGGAGGCCCGGAGAAGTTGATGAATAAACTAATTTCCTGTTTGTTTTGACAGCTACTCTGTTCTTGTTTCTGTCCCGACCGTCTGACTTCGACGATCCTGTGTATGTCTGCGAATGGCAGACTGCGAATGACCCCATCGATGTTTCCGGGAACTTCCCTTTCACGGTGAACTTCACGCCAACACGCTCAGAGACATGGCCGAACAATTATTATTCTTTGTCCTGATCTAATAATGAAGCAAATTGGACTTTAATTCTCAAGCCCAAGGGTTCCTGTCCGTGTGTCGTGATTGCAGTCTTCCCCGACTATTCCCTCGCCGGTTGAGCGAGTTTGCCGACCGGCGAAGCCCCGATCCGGTGAAGTTATTCCTTGTTTTTTCTTCTATCTTGCGGGAGTGCATCCCTGGGGGCCCTTTGTCTCGAGTCTCGGATGAAACCAATTGATGGGCCCGCCTAATTGGCTGTTGCCCGGACCGATTCGAATTGCAGCCGAGTTGTAGTCGAAAAGGAGAGTAATCCAATCTGACTCTAATCGTCTAACGAGAGAATTTTCATTTGACGATGACAGGACAACTCGAATTCCCACCGTTACCGAAGCTCTTCTCGAGGCTCGATGTCGGGCGCGAGAAGAATGCACATACATAGGTAAACTCTAAATCTAGAGCCGCACTCAATCACGGAGCGGCTCAATTTCATCATTGATTTGATATAGGAGAGAATAAATCATTACCACACAAATCACAAAGCAGTAGAGCCAGAAATCGCAAACCCCTATGGTCGCACGCGATTTTCCGTTCGAGAGTCTCGAATTTGCCAGCGGTGTCCGGGCGAGTAGGTCCACGGCTTTCAGGATCCTCGTGAGAGTTTGAAAATCGATCGACGTGACACGTAATCCGAAATGCTGCGCCACACCCTCCGACGTTCATCTGTCTTGAAGTTATCGACGTATGACATCCGTTCCGCGTCCTGTCACGACATGGCGCGAACTTGTTCACCAATGTGTTATTTGGAGTTCGATAGTATTCATTCTGGGGAGATGCACTCGATTCCTGCAGTCGCCGCTGCGCCCTGATTGCAGCTCCACATACAAGCCGTTCTCCGAGTTTGCGATGAGGCGGGACAGTCGACGTCTTATTGAGGACTCAGAGACTTTCGGAGATCGGCGCTTATCGGGCTTCTAGAATTCCCGAGCGGAGCGTGTTGGGTATCCGAGCCGAACAATCTCTGGATACCGGAGAGGAAGGAACGGCAGAATCAAAAAAGCAAGTAGTCCCAGCTTCCCACTGAAAGCTCTGATGGCGCTTCACAGATCATTTACTCTGCTGGAACACCTCCACTGAAGGGTGGCTCAATGAGTTTGTTGTTGTGCGATACGTGATTCAGGTCCCAAGTATTGTAGAAGCAAAAGCTCTTCCTGCCACATAGCTCTCGTTCAGCTGACTGCTTTGCGCTGCTGGACCAGCTCGACGAGGGAAGGTTGTGCTGAAGCAGATGACAAGGCATCTCTTCAGCGGCAGACACTTCTGCAACAGAAGCGGTGACGTTACCGACTGCTTCAGCGAGACCTGAGCTGTCGCTGAGCAAGCAGGAAGCCTACTCCTGACCCTATGGTCTTGCTCTAGCTACTCTTGATTTTTAGTGGATCCTGCCCGTTTCGGAACCGCTGGTCATACACTCAGCGGAGGTAGGATGCGGAGGGCCGAGCGAGTGTGGTGCGGTTTTCTATTTCGATGCGAACAAATGAGGCTCTCTTTTTGCGCGACAGCCCAACGCTGATCGAGCGGAGGAGTTGGACGGAGTACATACGTACTTACGTCGACCGCAACATGGGCGTACCCGAAGCGAACGTGAATGGCCTGCGATGATTGATCACTTCCGATAGAATCGAGGAGAGTCTTATTATATTTGCGTCAGAATCTGACTCGATGCCACTATTCGTAAAAATCTCGCTCATACTCATTATTCGAAGCGGATTCCCCTCGCCACCGCTTTAGGCTGACCGAGGAATGCTGAAGGACGTCGGAGGAAATATTCGAAGTTTTTATCCAAGCGCTTCATTATGAATCAAGGAGTCCTCCATCGGTTCTGTTCCGAGAATTCAGATTTCTGTTTCGAATGGTCTGCATTTCTCCTCTCAAGAACAAGCCCCGAGGATAACGCGCATCAATATATTCTTTCTTGTTGCAGAGTTCGAGTTCTGAGAAGACGGAAATGCACCTCCATAGCGTACTCCCTACGCGCCGTCTGGCTTGGGTGGCAGGAGCCTATTATGAGTCCCGCGACGGATAGAAATAGAATGGAACAAGGGCATAACCCTCGGCGAAGTCCCTCGGCGTAGCGTTTCAGCAGCGGTCGCCGCGGATCTACATCATCTCTATCATGGAGTTAGTTAGCAGCCGGCCGTTGGCTTGTATCATGCGAGCCTTGCGTGCTTGCTTCAGTTGCTCGCGGTGGAGAATTTCCAGAAATATCCTTTGAGACCCCAGAGAGTCGTTGAGAGTCCGAGTGAATAAGCTGGCCGGCCGGTCGGCCCGCCAGGCAGCCGGCGAGCGACGGGTCAACCACCACAGAAGCGTTCGACCCACCGACCGCACCGGAAATACCCCGGCACAAAAATAAAAATCCGAGCATCTAACAACGGCCAAATTATCACACTCGCGGGAGACGTCGGTCCGCATCATTGAAGCGAAAGTTCGCCGCTCGCCCCCTAGCGTCTCGACCTCGAGCGGGTCCCGACGCGCGGACTTCAAACTCGTTCTGCTTGACAAGCTCGGCGGGTTTCGTCATCGACGGAGTTTCGTATTCATTCGCGGTCTCGACAATCCTGTCTCGAACGAAGATCGATCGGTCGGACGGACGCTCTCTACCGGAATATCCAACATACGGGCATGTTGTGATGGGGCGCTCTCAACACGTGTTGGCGTCGCGGAATTCCGAATCCGTTGGCCAGCTATTTTTGGCGCCATTTGATCGCTTTGTTTTTGTGAGTTGCTCGAGCGCT